CTACGTGATCATCGTCGAATTCTTCTCGCGACACAAAAGCAACTTTGAAGCCGCCTGGGCCTATATGTGCAGAAGCATCGCATATAATAGCCCCAGTCGGGCACTTTGCTAGGACAAACCGAAAAAATGCTAGGACAAATCCGATATTCACGGATGTAAAGTATAGTGTACCATAATTTTTGTCCTAGCGGTCCGTATAGGACAAAATTTGTGGTACACTATACTGAAATCAAGTAAAATCCGATTTTGTCCTCCCGTTTGTCCTAGCAAGAGGGGCGACTGGGGTTAAGTTGGTCGTGTGGTCTCACTTACCACCTGCTCTGCAACTCCCTTCGTAGTTGGTGCCGCTGCACCTCGCGGAAACTTTAGTACAATACTGGTATGTTACGTTGCAAAACCTGCATGTATTGTTATTTAAAACTAAATTTAATTTATATAACAATAACTATGCATTCTATTAAATACCGCTTTTGAAAATGAATTGTTTGTGTATATATTTTAAACACGCAACTGCAATAATTTGTTTTTGGAATAAGTTTTTATTTCATGCACTCTCTGGACAGACCGACCACAAGTTTGAGCTAGCGTTAATGTACAGCAAGGTTCGTGTCCATACTGTTCAATTGGCTCCTGTGCAACTTGTTAAACCAACAGATCCGTAGCGCTTCGAAGTGGCGGCACGACCCTGGATGAGCTCATGTCTACATGCGTGTACCCGAGCAGGTGAGCTGCTGGCAGCGTGTGGGTATCGACCCCTTGAGCTGTGATGGAAGCCTAACAACATGGTCCACGCAGCACCGACCTCACTCTACCCGATGGTCTTGGATGATCAAGGACCTCCTCGCTCAGTCGACCACCATGGACAGCACCACACCACTTGTCAATTTGCCTCGTCAAGGGCGTACCGAGATGCAGTCGAGCGTCTTCGCCCTCGAGTTCGTTGGCAGACCCAACGCCAAGCACCGCGCGCGCAAGGAGCGCAGACGCATAGCAAGACTGCGATCTGTCCTGAGATGGCGACGCGCGGAGCGAGATCTGCTGAGGAAGTTGTCGCTACAACAGAAGCGCCTTCGCCTCCATGTCGACTCTCGTCAGTGTCGACCTCTCCCTGCCACGCGTGACACCAACCTCCACGTCCAGCAACAGCTCGAGCCAAGTCCCGACGTGACGGCGTTCGAGCCCACTGAGCCTCGCAACGACCTGCTGCACTTCTTCTCTGGAGGCGGCTGGCTCATGGTCTACATGTACGGCGTGTGCAAGGCGCTGCGCGAGCTCAAGGTGGACGAGCGCGCCAAGTTCATCGGCACGTCCGCCGGCTGCCTGGCCATCGTGTCGCTCGTCCTCAAGTCGGACTTCGACGAGATCTGCGACTCGGTCGTCGACGACTACGTGCCGGCCGCCCACGCGAGCTGGAGGGGCCCGTTCCGGATGCGCGACTACCTCATCGACGCCGTCACGCGCCACGGCAACGCCAACAACATCCATGAGCTGCAGGGCAAGGTCACAATCGTGTACACGTCGCTGTCGGCTTGGGTCGCGCGCCGCGTCTCGCGCTTCAAGAACCCGCTGCACCTGCTGCAGACGATGGTGGCCTCGTGCTGCGCCACGCCGCTGGTGGGGCTGCCGTTCGAGCTCGAGGGCGAGTACTGCTGGACAACCAGCCGCTGTTCGAACACGGCGTCCGCACGATCACCGTCACGCCCAACGTCTTCGTGCCGCCGTGGTGGTCCATGTACCCTCCATCGCAGCGAGAGATGCGGTGGCTGTACGACCTGGGCTACGAGGACGGGCTGTCGTGGTGTGTGCGCCAGGGGCTTCCAGGGTCGGAGAGCATTGAGTTGCCGACCAAGGCTGCGACGTACAGGGGCGAGTGGAAGACGGTCGTTGGGCAAGTGGTGGGCTACCGGTCGGTGGAAGATGCGGTGCTGGCTATGGCGGGACTGCTGCTGCTGTCGGAGGAGACGGTCACGAGCACTGTGATCCGACTGGAGATCTTGCTGTGGAGGCTGGTGGCGGTTGTCGCCGCTCTGTTGGAGTGGAGCACGGTGCTCTGGACGGTCTTGGCTGGAGCAACGCTGATGGGGCTGGCGATGCTGGATCAGCACTGCACGCTGAAGTTCGTGGTCGTGCTGGGGGCGCACTTGATCGTGGCAGTGTTGAAGCTGAAGGAGGCTTGCTGGCAGGTCCACTCGTCGCCTCACTGGCAAGAACTGCGAGACTCGCTCGGTGCGATGGAGAAGCAAACGACAACGAGCAAGGTCGGACCCACTCCCCAGCAGGAGGCAATGCTGGCGAAGTGGTCGTATGTGTACCGATTCAGTAGTTTGTTGGTGTGAGTACGAAGACAGGATGGAAGTGGGGTGCCCAACACACTGTCAGTTAACTGAAGTTGAAGTGTCCGAGGGCAAGTGATCATCAAAGCTTCAGATCTTCTCAAAACTTGTTGCTGGGTACGATGTGATGCCGTGTTCATGTTCTGCGTGGTACATGTATGCACCTGCATCATAAAGAAAGCGGCCTTCCACAACGTCGCGATCGGGCACTCAAACGGATTATCGAGTTCAAAGTTGAGGTGCACGAGGGCATAGTGACTTTCAATAATATTTTGAACGTGTACGGAGCACTGCACCTGTGGAAGCGCACTGCAATCTAAGATTCATGGCTATCCTCTTCTGTTGGCAAGTCCACTCCACATTATAGGTGGTGAACCTGGCTCAATGTCAACCACAGCCACAGGGGGTGCCATCACCACCAACAATGGCAGGTTAAACAATCCGTTGTCCTTCGCAACACCCTCGGCGAAGTAAGTATCCTGTGGCCGTAAAGCACTTAGTGCACGCCTCCCCCGCTGTGCTCACTTTCGAATTAGCTTTCGACCACCCACTCACTCTCCAAGCATGAAGACTGTGTCCTCGATCCTCGCAGTCGTGGCCCTGCTTGCTGTTGCAGCTCTCGGTGCCAATGGCGTGCACGTCGGCGACAACCCCATCTCGAACCGCGCACACGAAACCAACCACTTGGTCACTGCGGACCCCGTCGTGGATGAAAGGACCTGGGTCCCATTCCGCGCCCTGCGGTCGATGGACTCGCCCAAGCAGGGACCCCACGACGAC